CCTAAATTGTTCTCCATCTGGAGCAGGACTAAGAAGCCTAAGCTTATATTTATAATAGTGACCAGGGGTCCTCCATTCCAGCCTTCTCCTCAGGGGGGATTCATTCCTAAATTGTCCTCCATTTGGAGCCTAAGAAGCCTGGGCTTATATTTATAATAGGGACCTGAGGTCCTCCATTCCAGCCTTCTCTCCAGCAGGGTTTCCCAATTTGTCCTCCATTTAGAGCCTGGCTAAGAAGCCTGGGCTTATATTTATAATAGGGATCTGAGGTCCTCCATTCCAGCCATCTCCCCAGGAGGGATTCCTAAATTGTCCTCCATCTGGAGCAGGACTAAGAAGCCTAGGGTTATATTTATAATAGTGACCAGAGGTCCTCCATTCCAGCCTTCTCTCCAGCAGGGTTTCCCAATTTGTCCTCCATTTAGAGCCTGGCTAAGAAGCCTGGGTTTATATTTATAACAGGGACCAGAGGTCCTCCATTCCAGCCTTCTCTCCAAAAGGGATTCCAAGAATCCTGGTCACCTTGTTTCTGACTTATGGCAGCCCTAAGGCAAACCTATGATGGGGGCAAAATGTAGCACTTTTAATAAAAATGTAGGACGTGACCAACCAAAAGCTTGAAAGACTCTTCTATGCTTCCTAGTCCTGCTCCAGATGGAGGACAATTTGGGAATCCCTCCTAGAGAGAAGGCTGGAATGGAAGACCTGTCCTGGAAAAGGAGGAGGGCCTCTGGTCACTATTATAAACATAAATCCAGTCTTCTTAGATTCTTCTCTCGAGGAGGGATTCCAAAATTGCCCTCCATTTGGGACCTGGGAAGAAGCCTGGATTTATATTTATAATAGTGACCAGAGGTCCAGAATTCCAGCCTTCTCCCCAGGATTGTCGTCCATCTTGAGCAGGGCTAAGAAGCGTGCACTTATCTTTAGATGAGACTTTCAAGCTTTTGGTTGGTCACATCCTACATTTTTATTGAAGGTGCTACATTTTGCCCCCATGATAGGTTTGCCTTAGTGTTGCCATAAGTCAAAAATAGGGTGACCAGGCATCCTCCTTTTCCAATACATGTCCTACATGTTAGCCTTCTGTCCAGGAGGAATTTCAAAATACCCTCCATTTTGAGCATGTCTAGGAAGCAGTAATTTATATTTAGATGAGTCTTTTGAGCTTTGATTTGGTCATGCCCTACTACATTTTTTCTGGAATGTCCTACATTTTACAAGGCCTTGTCCTCCTTTGTGGTGAGGATAGCTAGTCACTCCAGCTTTAACCCTTGGGGGGCTGGTGTGAGAAGGGTCTAAGAGGGGTTGCCTTCCCCCCCAAAAAAGAGGGAAAATCCTTTTGGGGGTGTATGTGGAAGAGAGAGGGGCCAAGCGACCAAGGGTGTCCAGATGTGCTCACCACAAAGGAGGACAAGGCACCAGAAAATTAAGGACTTTCATGAAAAAAATAGAGGGCCAAATAAAAGCTCAAAACACTCATAAAATAATAAATCCATGCTCCTTAGTCCTGGTAAAAATGGCAGACATTTTGGAATTCCCCCTGGACAGAAGGTTGAAGTGGAGGACATGTCCTGAGAAAGGAAGAGGACCTCTGATCACCCAGGTCACAACTCGGTTCTCCTCAGTCCTCCACCCATTTTCCACCTGGAAGACCACCGCCTTTCATGGTGTGTGTGGAGAACCAAAGGCAGGCTGTGGGAAGGCAGGAAAACCACTCTCCCCTATTAAACATATCCGTTTCTTGTGGTGGTGGAGTGCCTTCAAGTCATTTCCCACTTATGGCTACCCTAAGGCGAACCTTGTTGTCTGTTGTTGTGGGCTTTCAAGTCATTTTCCAATTTATGGCGACCCTAAAGTGATCCTATCATGGGGTTTTCTTGGCAAGATTTGTTCAGAGGCGGTTTGCCATTGCCTCCCCCTGAGGCTGAGACAGTATGATTTGCCTAAGGTCACCCAGTGGGTTTACATGGTTGAGTCGGGATTTGAACCCTGGACTCCAGAGTCCAATACTCAGACCAGTACACCACCCTGGCTCTCACACTGGTTCTGGGAAAACCACTCTCCTTCACTAAACATATCCATTTGTTGTTGTTGCTGCTGCTGTCGCCTTCAAGTTGTGTCTGACTTATGGGGAACCCTAAGGTGAACCTAAGAGCCAGTGTGGTGTGGTGGTTTGAGAATTGGCCTGCAACTCTGGAGACCAGAGTTTGAATCCCGTCTCAGCCTTGTAAACCCACTGGGTGACCTTCAGCAAGTCACACACTCTCACCCTCAGAGGATGTCAATAGCAAACTCCCTCTGGAGAAACTTGCCAAGAAAACCCCATGACAGGTTCACTTTAGGGTCGCCATAAGTTAGACATGACTTGAAGGCACACAACAACAAAAAAAACAGATATCAAGGTCAAGGGTGGCTTGAGACATTTGGCTACCTGAGATGGATCCCTACACACACACACACACACACACTCCTCTCAGGGTGCACAGTGTTTGTAGTCTGTCCTCAATTTGTCATTGGAGGCAAAAAGTCCCACAAATGCCTCTCTCTGATTGTGGCAGTGAAAAGTCAAGCATCCCAAAGTCAATAGCTAAGAATGTGCTGTCCTTTCATGACATCCATCTCTCACTCTCACTCTGCCTGGTGGCATGGCTGACTCCGATCCCTACGTACTTATTTTTAGGCAGAAATCTCACTGAATTCACCATGTTAGCGTGTGTTTTTAGCATCATCTACAGATCTGGATGGAGGCCAGCTGCTTTCCTGTTCACAGAATGGGCAAGTGTTTTCAGACCTCTTGCAGGAGTTTTTAAAGAGTACTTTAATGTGCTTTTAAAATGTTTTTATCTCTGTATTGTTTTAATTGGTTTGTATTGGTTCATCTCCTAAGGAGCCCTTGTGGGTGTGTGGTGATACAGCAAAACTTTAAACGTCACTTTCTCTCTCTCATTGTTCTCAAATCTATCCGTTTGAGGATGAATAATTATGGTGTTATGGTGGGACAGAGACTGGATGGCCATCTGTCAGGGGCGCTTTGATTGCATTACAAGCACCACCTGTTGAAATGCCATCTTCTGCACAATTGCATTCTGTGTCCCTTTAGCTGGCGACCCTAATTGCAAACTTAGCACCAGAGACAATTTAAGATTAATAGACTTTATATTAATATTAAGTTAGTCAGTTCATACTGTCATCAGGCAGTAACTGAAACTCGATCCACCGCTGCATGTCTTGTGTACCTTCAATTTATTTTTGACTTGCTATGACCCTAAGGCAAACCTATCATGGGGTTTTCTTGGTTGTTGTTCAAGAGTTGTTCAGAGGGGGTTTGCCTTTGCCATCCTCAGATACTGAGACAGTGTGACTTGCCCAAGATTACCCAGTGGGTTTCCATGGCTGAGTGGAGATTTGAACTGTATTCTCTTGCCAAGAAAACCCTATGATAGGTAGGGTTGCCATAAGTGTGAAATGATTTGAAGGCATACAACACACAAAAACAGAAATTAACCCATAGGATAGATAGGCAGACAGACAGAGGTTCCTTTAAAGGCAGAGAAATACAAGGGGCCCTCCATATTCTTTGGGGTTAAGGACACAAGACCCCCATGAAAAGCAAATTTTAAAAACCCACTATTTTGTTTTACCTAAGAAAACACTTCCCCAGGCATTTGTAGGTTCTCCAGTGCAACTCTTTGATAAACATCTGGCAGAAGTTGTCCATAGAATTGCACTGGAGGGTCTACAAATGCCTAAAGAAGTGTTCTTTCTAGGAATCTCTAGGTCCTCCAACCTGATTTCTGCAGACATTGCCCACAGAGTAGAGCTGGAGGACCTAGAGATTCCTAGGGAGTACATATTAATCAAATCCATGAATAATCAAATTAGCAAAAGTCAAAGCTGCAAATGTGGAGGGCTGGCTGCAGATAGGTAATAAATACAGTAAGACAGAAAGTTAGACAGTGGATTCCACAGAGAAGCTGACACAGAGGAGTAGTTGACATGTGGCGATATTTTATTAAACTCTGTGTATAGCTTTACATGGCAATTGTCTCATTTCATCCTAACAACAACCCTGTAGAGTACATGATTCTAAACAGTACTTTTACAGGTAAGTGGAAATGTGAACTTAGGGCTTTTCACTCTGCTTTTCTCTGCAAGCTACAGCAGTTGTGTGTGTGTGTGGGGGGGGAATGAATGCATTGCCCTCCTGATAAGAATTATACATCCTCATGAAACTTTCCTTCAGACCTCAGATTTCTAGCATGCAGTGATTTAAATTGTCAGTTGAACATTTAGAAAATACAATTTAGGTATCCAAAGAAATGGATATGGTAGCATCCCACAATACAAACTTACTAAAATATTGTACATGTACAAGGAAGTCTTTCCATGTATGTACGCTTTGTACATTGCAGCATTCACCTTTGGTGCATCCAGAATTGTGTGTGAACATTTATTATTAATTTTGGCACTTGAGCTGACACCATACAAACATTCAGTGCTTCATCAGAGGAAAGCAAATTAAGCAATCTTGGCTTCTGAAAGTAACATATTTGAAGGAAGAGATAGCTTGTTATTCTCGACCAGTATACAAAGGGACTATTATTTGAAAGTAGTCTCAAAGGTGCTACAAGATCCCTTTGTTTATTTGGGGAATTTCCAGTGGACGGTCTTGGAAACTGCAACTCACTAGCCATTAAAAGTCCAACTGTTTATATCAGTATGCCTTGTACAATATGCATTTACTTCCTACTTCCTAGTTCATTTACTCAACTATTTTTCGAGTGGAAAATACTGATGTGCTCTTTAGGAAGATTCATATACTTTCCAATTACCTTTGCCTTGTTGACATTATATACCTCCAAGTTGTTTCTAATTTAAGGCGGCCCTAAGGTGACACAGTATCATGGGGTTTTCTTTTTTTTCAGAGAGGGTTTGCCTTTGCCTTTTTCTGAGGCTGAGAGAGTGGGATTTACCTAAGGTCAGCCAGTGGGTTTCCATGACTGAGCAGGGATTTGAACCCTGGTCTCCAGAGTCATTGTCCATTGCTCAAACCACTACATCACACTGACTTATGGAGACCCTAAGGAAAGCCTATCACAGGGTTTTCTTCTCTTATGATGACTCTCAGTCAAGGCTATAGGGGTTTTCTTAGCAAGATTTCAGAGGGGGTTTGCCTTCCTGTGAGACAGAGACAAGGATGACCAGACATTCTCCTTTTCAGGACGTGTCCTACATTTCAGCCTTCTGTCCAGGAGGAATTCCAAAATGTCGTCCACACACAGCATGATTAAGAAGCATGAATTTACATTTATATGAGTGCTTCGAGCTTTTATGTGGTCATGCCCTACATTTCTTATTGAATGTCCTCCATTTTGAGTAGGACCAAGAAGCACGAATGTACATTTCTATGAGTGTTTCGAGGCTTTATGTGGCCATGTCCTACATTTCTTATTGAATGTCCTCTATTTTGAGTAGGGCTAAGAAGCATGAATGTACATTTACATTAGTGTTTTGAGCATTTATGTAGCTGTGCCCTACATTTTCCTCAAACATCCTACATTTTGCAGTGCCTTGTCCTCCTTTGTGGTTAGGACATGTGGTCGCCCTGAGAACAGACAGACAGACAGACACAAGCAGACACACTTGGTTCCCAGTCTATCAAGGCTGGCTGGGGCTGATGAGAGCCAATGTTCAACAATATTTGGAGAACCATCTATTCCTCACACACACACACACACACACACACACCTATCAGGAATAGATGGTTCTCCAAATCTCTCTAATCTCTCTCTCTCCTCACACACATATATGTCTGTGCCTGGCTTCCACTCCACCAAATGCATCTGAGGAAGTAGACTGAAGTATACTAGGAAAGCTCCTGCTGCCAACTTCTTTCTTTCAGTGAGTCTCAAAGGGGCTACAAGGTCTCTCTCTACAGCTATTCCTTCATTAGATATCTGAACAAAAAGGGAAGGAGCCAAGGGGGAAGAGAGAGAGAAACCCCAGCCACATGACAACTCTGCATTTGCAGCCAGACGTTTTGCACAGCTTTGTATCCCAGACATATATGCCCAAAACACACACAAGAGCCTGGTCCTTCTCAGCCAGCTTCCGACTCCCAGGGACCTACGGGGGGCTGCCAAGGCCAATAGTGGAGCTGCAATGAGAAGCCAGATCTGTGCCAAGTGTCCCAGCATCAGCATCACTTCCCTGCCTTCCTTCCTGGTGTGACTCTGGGTCAGGGGTAGGCAACCTTTCCCCTTTAAGGGCCGAGGGACTTCAGCTCCCAGAAGCCTCAGCCATGTTGGCCAATAGTCCCATGTTGGCCAATAGCTCCTGGGATTCTGGGAGCTGAAGTCCCTCGGCCCTTAAAGGGGAAAGGTTGCCTACCCCTTTAAGGGCCGAGGGTGGTCAGAGAGAGAGAGAGAGAGAGAGAGAGAGAGAGAGAGCGCCTGCGAAGAACATGTTTGGCGGTAGCACCCCCTCCTGGTCTCTCTGGGAACTGCAGTTCAGTCTCTTTGGGGAAGAGAAGACTGAAATCATAGAGTTGGAGGACACCACATTGTCAAAGCTTTTTGTATACCATATAATACAAATTAACAAGCTTACTGAAAACATATCAAGTTTCTTACTACAAATATGGAATTCATCATTCATTAAGTCAATTCAACATTATGCTATATGACATTTTGTTGTTAACTGCCCTCCAGTCGATCTTGACCCATGGAGACCCGCTGGATGAGACATCGCCAAGACCCCTGTCCTCCACTGCTCTGCTTAAATCAGGGGTAGGCAACCTAAGGCCCCAGGCCAGTCCTGCCCCCGCCGCTGCCGCCCGCCATGATGATATTGATTATTGTTGTTACTTGTTCTTGGGGTTTTCTTGGCAAGATCTCCACAAGGGTTTTGCCATGGCTTTTCTGGGGCTGAGAGAGTGTGCATGCATATTTTTATTTATTTTTTTAAAAATTATTTATTTATTTATTTATTTATTTTTGGTGCTTCGGCCCCCAAATTGTCTGAGGGACAGCAACCCGGCCCCCAGCTCAAAAAGGTTGCCTACCCCTGGCTTAAATCCTGCAACCCCTTAATACCCATGACCTCCTTAATAAAGTCCATCCATCTAGCATGTGGCCCTCCTCTCTTTCTACTTCCCTCCACCTTCCCCAGCATTATTGCTCTTTCCAAAGAGTCCTCCCTTCTCATGAAGGGAGTTTGGTCATCTCAGTTTGGTCATCTTGGCTTCCAGGAAGATTTCAGGCTTGATCTGCTCTAGGACCCATTTGTTTGTCCTTTTGGCTGTCCATGGTATCCTCAGCACTCTTCTCCAGCATCACATTATCTCAAAGGAGTTGATTTTCTTCCTACTTTCTTAACTGTCCAGCTCTCACATCCATACATGGTAATAGGGAATACGATGGCTTGTATGATTCTGACTTTTGTGTTGAGTTGTATATCTTTGCATTTTAGAATCTCTTCTAGTTCTTTTATAGCCACCCTCCCCATTCTTAATCTTCTTCTGATTTCCTGACTGCAGTCCCCATTTCTATCAATGTTTGATCCCAGGTATGGGAATTCTTTGACTATTTCTATTTCTTCATTGTCTAGGTTGAACTTATGAAGGTCCTCGGTGGTCATTATTTTTGTTTTCTTTATGTTCAGCATTAAGCCTGCCTATGTACTTTCTTCTTTGATTTTCCTTAGTAGGTGTTCCAGGTGCTCTGTGAGGTTTTCTGCTAATATTATGGTGTCATCTGCTATTTATTCAGTTAATGACCAGCAAGATTTAAAAAAGAATACAAAGCATAATAAATAAGTGCAACAATGAACTTCAAGTGACACACAATAAAATAAAATAATATAAAAACACGCTCTCCTGTGATTTTATAAATTTCATGATTCCATGAAAGTAAAATATGCTAACTTCCTTTATACAAACAGCAAAGAAGCAACAACAGTATTTTAGGGATGCCAGCTTTACTATATCCGTTCTGACGTATCATCTCCACATCCCTTGTACTTTTGCAGAGATGTCTAGGGACAACATGCTGACTGAAGGGCATCATGGTATAGACAGACATATTTTATTTGGTCAATGACCAGCAAAATTTAGAAAGGTTGCAAGGCCCAGTACATAAGTACAATAATGGACTTCAAAGTGACACAGTACAAGAATAGTAAAAAATAAAATAAATTAAAATGGAGTACAGAGTTTATATTTCCCCTGACAATTTTCCTTTAGAACTTTAACATTAAAATAATATATAAATATATTTAGGATAGGGAGATACTTTTTGCCTGAATTCGTCATATTTTCATTGCAGCAACACAAAAGTTAGCAACTCTACATGTAATATAGGGGTTTAGATCCTGAAGTAGGTATTTCATGTAGAAATTATCTGGATGCCCTGATCATTTTTCTACTAAAATTGCAATATAAATTGACCTGGTATCCTCATAACATTTATAGTACATGTGAAATAGATTCTACTTCTACTTCTCCACATGGACAAGTGCGCTCAGTTATGGGAACTTTACTAAATCTGCCTTGGAGGAGTGCAGATAAGAGAATGTTAAATCTGGTTTTGAAAAAAGCAATTCTCAATCTGGGAAACGTTAGATTTTGTAGATAACTTGCCGATTCCCATACTCCTTTATTTATCCAAAGTCTGTTATGTTGTGGGAGTCT